TAAAGAATGCTCAACATCATTAATCATTAGAGAAATGCAAATCAAAACTACAATGAGATATCATCTCACACCAGTCAGAATGGCCGTCATCAAAAAATCTAGAAACAAATGCTGGAGGAGGTGTGGAGAAAAGGGAACACTCCTGCACTGCTGGTGGGAATGTGAATTGGTACAGCCACTATGGAGAACAGTATGGAGGTTCCTTAAAAAACTACAAATAGAACTACCATATGACAAGCAATCCCACTAGTGGGCATATACCCTGAGAAAACCATAATTCAAAAAGAGTCATGTACCAAAATGTTCATTGCAGCTCTATTTACAATAGCCAGGAGATGGAAACAACCTAAGTGTCCATCATCGGATGAATGGGTAAAGAAGATGTGGCACATACATACAATGGAATATTACTCAGCCATAAAAAGAAACGAAATTGAGTTATTTGTAGTGAAGTGGATGGACCTAGAGTCTATCATACAGAGTGAAATAAGTCAGAAAGAGAAAGACAAATACTGTATACTAACACATATATATAGAATCTAAGAAAAAAGAAAATGTCATGAAGAACCTAGGGGTAAGACAGGAATAAAGACAGACCTACTAGAGAATGGACTTGAGGATATGGAGAGGGGGAAGGGTAAGCTGTAACAAAGCTAGAGAGAGGCATGGACATATATACACTACCAAACCTAAAATAGTTAGCTAGTGGGAAGCAGCCGCACAGCACAGGGAGATCAGCTCCGTGCTTTGTGACCACCTAGAGGGGTGCGATAGGGAGGGAGACACAAGAGGGAAGAGATATGGGAACACGTGTATATATATAACTGATTCACTTTGTTATAAAGCAGAAACTAACACACCATTGTAAAGCAATTATACTCCAATAAAGATGTAAAAAAAAAAATGTCTACAAGTAACAAATGCTGGAGAGCATGTGGAGAAAAGGGAACCCTCCTACAAGGTTGGGGGGAATGTAATTGGTGCAGCCACTATGGAAAACAGTATGGAGTTTCCTCAAAAAGCTAAAAATAGAGCTGCAATGTGATCCTGCAATCCCACTTCTGGGCATATTTCCGGAGAAAACCATAATTCAAAAAGAACATGCCCCCCAGTGTTCATAGCAGCACTATTCACAATAGCCAAGACATGGAAACAGCCTAAATGTCCATTGACAGATGAATGGGTAAAGAAGACGTGGTACTTTAGTTGCAGCATGCCAGGTGTTCATTGCAGCATGCAGGATGCTGCAACTAAAGATCCCACACACCGCAACGAAGATCCCACGTGCTGCAACTAAGACCTGGAATAATGGAATAATTCCATCTGCAGCAACAATGGATGGACCTAGAGATTATCATGCTAAGTGAGTAAGCCAAAGAAAGACAAGTATATGATATCACTTATATGTGGAATCTAAAAATGTGGTACAAATTAACTTACAAAACAGACTCAGACTTCAGAAACAAACATGGTTACCAAAAGGGAAAAGTGGGGCAGGAGGGATAAATTTAGAGGTTGGGATTAACATATACACACAACTATATATAAAATAGATAATCAATAAGGATCTACTGTATAATACAGGGAACTCTACTCAATACTCTGTAATAACCTATATGGGAAAGGTATCTGAAAAAGAATAGATACATGGGGCTTCCCTGGTGGCGCAGTGGTTGAGAGTCCGCCTGCCAATGCAGGGGACACGGGTTCGAGCCCTGGTCCGGGAGGATCCCGCATGCCACAGAGCAACTAAGCCTGTGCACCACAGCTCCTGAGCCTGTGCTCTAGAACCTGCGAGCCACAACTGCTGAGCCCACGTGCTGTGACTGCTGAGGCCCACGCACCTGGAGCCCGTGCTCTGCAACGAGAAGCCACCACAGTGAGAGGCCCGACACTGCAACAAAGAGTAGCCCCCACTCGCTGTAACTAGAGAAAGCCCACACGCAGCAACGAAGACCCAACACAGCCACAAGTAAATAAATAAATTAAAAAAAACAAAAGATATACGTATAACTAAATCACTGCTGTCCACCTGAAACCAACAACATTGTAAATCAACTATACTCCAATATAAAAAAACTTTTTTTAAGTCACCACCTTGGGTTTTTCTGGTGGTACAGTGGTTAAGAATGTGCCTACCAATGCAGGGGACACGGGTTCGAGCCCTGGTCTGGGAAGATTCCACACGCCACGGAGCAACAAAGCCCGTGCACCACAACTGCGGAGCCCACGTGCCACAACTACTGAAGTCTGTGCACCTAGAGCCCATGCTCAAGAGAAGCCATCGCAATGAGAAGCCTGCGAACTACAATGAAGAGTAGCCCCCACTTGCCACAACTAGAGAAGGCCCACATGCAGCAACAAAGACCCAACACAGCCAAAAATAAATAAATATTTAAAAAGTCACCACCTTTAGGAAATAAAAACTAAGGTTTTACCTATAAACAGTTATTTTAGAAGATTCTTTGTATTAAGCTAAAATCCCCTATCCCCGACCCTTTAGAATCGTTGACTGTTCCTAGGAGGACATACATTGCTGGTTTCCTGGAAACTGAGAGGGAAAGGAGTGGGTAGTCACCCAGTCTGAGGGTGGCAAAGCTGAGACCAGGCCTGGGGCTCCTGACTTTCAGCCCAGGGTCTCTTCATCTGCGGCCTTATCTCTCCTGTAACATACTGCCGTGGGCTGTCATTCTCCCTTCCCTACAGTGCCTCTTTTGTAGGACAGCCTTTCAGTCTGATGAAGACCACTATCAGAAGTCCCTCACGTCTTTTCTCTGAGTAAAATACTCAGTTTGTTATTGTGCCTCATCTGACATGATTCCAGGTCCTTCACTGGCTTACTCTTAAAATGGAGAAAACTTAGAGGAAGTATCTCCCATAAAATCCAGTGGCCAAAATTGAGTAACGGGGCTGTATTATCTCCCACCATAAGGAAAATAGTTTTAAAATTGTAATTTATTATGCTGTTTTATTTAGGCTGAACATATACCACATTTCAGGATATTTTCCACCCAGAGCTCTCTGCTATGTTTACTTGGAAAGGGTACCAAAGATAGCATAGAATCTGAAATTGACTTGGTTTGGAAATTGGTATAATATACAGAACACTTAGATTAAACAAAGACAGCTGTTATTCATACTAATGGTGTAATGGTAAATATCTCAAAGGTCAGTTGTATTTGTTTTTTTGGCTGTGCTGGGTCTTCGTTGCTGCGCATGGGCTTAGTCTAGTTGCGTCGAGTGGGGGCTGCTCTTCTTTCCGGTATGTGGGCTTCTCACTGTGGTGGCTTCTCTTGTTGTAGAGCTCAGGCTCTAGGCCCGCGGGCTTCAGTAGTTGTGGCTCGTGGGCTCTACAGTGCAGGCTCTAGAGCGCAGGCTCAGTTGCTCCACGGCATGTGGGATCTTCCCAGACCGGAGCTCGAAGCCGTGTCCCCTGCATTGGCAGGTGGATTCTTAACCACTGTGCCACCAGGGAAGCCCCAGGTCAGTTGTATTTTTGTACTGTGTTCCTATATTTGTGTTGGTATGGGTGTAATACTCTGGAAATTTTAAATTTCCAACAAAATAATTTAGGTTCCAAACTTGCCTACACATTGGAACCCCCTGGGGAGCTTAAACAAATCTGCTTCTGTCCCATTCTGGGAGATGGTGATTTAATTTTTCTGAACTAAGGCCTGAGCTTTAGGAATTATTAAGAGATTCCCCATGTGATTTTAATATGCAAATAATTTTGAGAACCACTGCTGTAACGTGATCAGATTTAGGCAAGGGACTTAGAAAATTGTTCCTTGCCTTGTTCCCTGCTCCAGCTTGAACAGTTTGGCATTGCATGAAATTTTATGATCTAATTCTCATTTGGACTTACAGATGTCATGGACCTAAAGTGTGCAGTTTTTTGTTTTTTTTTTTTTTAAAACTTGCAGTTACTATTCATGATTCCCTTTCACACTCCCTCTGCACTTTTTTTTTTTTGGTACGCAGGGCTCTCACTGTTGTGGCCTCTCCCGTTGCAGAGCACAGGCTCCGGACGCGCAGGCTCAGCGGCCATGGCTCACGGGCCCAGCTGCTCCGCGGCATGTGGGATCTTCCCGGACCGGGGCACGAACCCGTGTCCCCTGCATCGGCAGGCAGACTCTCAACCACTGCGCCACCAACGAAGCCCCCTCTGCACTTTTTAACAGTTGATTTTAGATGTGAAATCCATTCACTATCTAAATAAACTGATCACATGGATTAAAACATGAAAAGGCTTATTTTAACTGGTTAACTCAAATTCATCAATATCCACCTAAGTGTGGTAGATGTCATGCAAAAAGAAACCTTAGTGAAATGTACTCTAATGTACTAGAATGAAATAGAGATTCACACTTTTTCTGGGTGAAAGAAGGCATGCACGTTCTGGGTTTAAGGTCTTGGTGCTGGGCTTTAGGCGGCAGACAGTGAAATAGAATAATTTGCATCTAAGATAGAAATTTTAGGGTTTCCCTGCTGGCGCAGTGGTTGAGAATCTGCCTGCTGATGCAGGGGACACGGGTTCGAGCCCTGGTCTGGGAGGATCCCACATGCCACAGAGTGGCTGGGCGCGTGAGCCACAACTACTGAGCCTGCGCGTCTGGAGCCTGTGCTCCGCAATGAGAAAGGCCGCGACAGTGAGAGGCCCTCACACTGCAATGAAGAGTGCCCCCGCTTGCCACAACTAGAGAAAGCCCTCACACAGAAACGAAGACCCAACACAGCAAAAATAAATAAATTAATAAACTGAAGGTGTCTTGTAGGCACAGACTATTAAAAAAAATAGAAATTTTACCATCTGTGCTTAATTATTAAAAAGAATGACAGAATTGTTTGCAAACAAGCTGCATGTCTGACAACCTCTTGATAGACAGAGGTTATCTGCACAATAAGTAGGAATAAAAACACTGATTTAAAAAGATGTCCAAGTCTCAACTAAAAACCCAGAAATTTCTATTGAGTCAATTTATATTTGTTGTCAGGCTTACTTTAGAATAATAGTGTTTAGCTGTTGCTTCATCCTTTGTGATACCCAAGCCAAGCTGCAAACACCGTGCGTGGTAGAAAGAGGCCATGGCCATGCCTCTGCTGATGAATTCTGGGAGACAGTCCGTGACCTGGGCTATCATGGGGATGTCATGAATCTCATCGTAGTCAGCAATCCTGTTACAACATCCAGTTGTGAAATTAAAAACGGTATCAGTTACAGTTTACATTTTTATAAACATGCCCAGAAACTCTCCATGTGCCCCAAGTGGTTTCTCTATTATTTCTACCAGTTTGAGAACAAAATTGTTTGCTCTGTGGTGAAGGGTAAATAGAACAGTCAACTAACACCAGAAGAAGAGGAACTAACTACAGTGGTTACTATATGGCTTCCTAGGATTATACTGGTCAGGCTTAATAACCACTAAAAAAAAATTAAGTTTAAAATATTACAAGAACTTGGGCTTCCCTGGTGGCGCAGGGGTTGAGAGTCTGCCTGCCGATGAAGGGGACACGGGTTCGTGCCCCGGTCCGGGAGGATCCCACATGCCGCGGAGCGGCTGGGCCCGTGAGCCATGGCCGCTGAGCCTGCGCGTCCGGAGCCTGTGCTCCACAACGGGAGAGGCCACAACAGTGAGAGGCCCGTGTACCGCAAAAAAGAAAAAAATATATATATATGTATATATATATATATATATATATATAAAACAAGAACTCATCACTTTGCAGATTTAAACAATGGGAAAAAAGCATTTTTCTATCCCTTTGGGTATTTAAACATCAACCTTGAATTTGGAGTTTAGTCACACAGGACCAGGAAACACATTAATAAACTTACACATCTATGATAATGGGCAATAAAAAGTCCTTCTCTATAACCCAGATACAGCAATGGAGAACTACATGAAAACAAGTCAACTCCACGTCAGCCGTAATACTGTGGGAAATAGGAACATGGAAAGTTCCAAAATTTTTTAAAGAACTGTTCGAAGTCTTAGTTTTAACCATATGGGCACTAGAGGATTTGAGACACCAGAGACCACACCTTTAAGTGTCCTGCTGCCTGGAGGCCATGATGTTGGGGAGGAGAGGGTAAAAGCAATTCCTTCATCCTTCAGTGTGGATGTCTGCCTCACACTGGGCTCAGGGAGAGGGGAACCTGTGGGCTCTGTGGGAAGGGCATTATTGGGAGGGCAATGGCAGCATGGCCTTATAGCCATTTTAGAGGACACTCAGGTCTGTTGCATTTGTACATTGTGGGTAAATGCAGGAAAGTAAATGGCCTCAGAGAAGAGAAATTTCCATATAATTTATGTTAGTGTTGGAGTCTTTTAACCATTCTCATTGTGCAGTCCTCATCAAGCTATATTGTAATTGTGCAGTTATAGAACCTATGGCTAAGGGTGTAGGAAAAAAAGTTTAATATTTCTCATGTGCCAAGCTGTGTTAAACACTTTATATTCACTATTTTTTTTTAAATCAAGAAGAAAATACTTCTGCAGGATTACAAAAGAACAATTGATGCCCCAAAAGTTAAACTTGTGTAAGATTACTTAGCTGATATACAGAGCAAATAGCGCTGAAGTTCTGCAGACTAACAGATGTACTATCCAATATGGTAGCCAGGAGCTACGTGTGGCTATTAAAATCCAATGAAAATTACAAGTTCAGTCCTCAGTTGCACTGGCCACACTGCAAGTACCAATAGCCATCATTTCCAATACTGCAGCGAGTTCTATTAAACAGACCTGGCATAGAACATCTAGTAAGAGTTTTGGTAAATACTTTTATCCAGCTTACTCACCTTTTGGAAAATGCAGCACACTTTGTAAAAAATTTCATCTTATAGTAATACTCCACGAGATTCCCTTGAGCGTAAACATTTCCACGCTCTGCTGCTTCCCTCAAGCAATGCAGGGCAGCCTCGGTATCCTGGTGGATGCCTTGCCCATAAAAGTACATGAGCCCAAGTGCACCCTGGGATTCCAGGTTTCCATTGCCACAAGCTTCTGAATGCCAATAAAATGCCTAGGAGAAAGCACAATTCCCTAGTATTCACAAGGTGGATTATAAATGGAATATCTCTATAAGATAGTACTATTAATTCATCTCTAGGACACCGTTCTAACCCCCTGAATGTATGTCAGACTAGCACCAACGTCGCATGCCTGAGAGAGGGTGCTGAGGGGAGCCCGCCCGTTGTCTGCCCACAGTATAGGCGAGGTCACTGGCTCGAGCTCAGCTGTTCAGGTTCCAGGATTTTCAGATTTTCCAGAGGAAGGACCAAAAAGGTGGGAAATAGGAACCAAGCGTCTGAAAGGCTTTGTAATGAGGCGCAGCCAGGAGAGGAGAGCAGCTGATGTGAGACTGCAGCCATCTCTCAGATCCTCTTGGAGCTCCAACAGGATCAAAGAAAACCAAGGATAAAAACCTGCGTGTGGTCCAAGCACGTTTGCTCAATACTCAGCTACAGTGAATCTGAGTTAGTTCAAACCGATTTCCAAGTAGCTGCTCAGTTATCTGACAAGGATCTTGGGGGTTATGTGCCTCCTACAAGTTTGCCTTTAACGCCTCATTTCCTTCTCCCTGTAAGATTTCTTGGAAAGGGTTTTCCATCATTGGTGATTAAAGAGGTTGTACTGACTCTCCCTCCTCTTTTACCTTTTATGGCAGAATATTTTATATGTGTGCTTTTTATAGCATACAAAGTGCTCACATCCGTGGTCTCCTTTGGTAGAGGCAGGGAAGGCAGCATTCATAGTTGAGGAAGGGTGAAATGAGCTTGGAGATCCTAAAATGTAAGCTTTCTTTACATTGAAAGAAATATAAGAGATATTCAGACTACATACTTACTCCTCACCAAATATTAATCTACACAGGATGCTAGGATTTAAACAAATCACTGTTACCTTCTCTAACTCTCTGGGTTCCTTTGTTGAGTAATACAATCCTAGGATACTTTGAGCCTTCACACTAGCTTTTGGATTTCCATTGTCTGCAGCAAAAAGCCACAGTCTAGAAGAGAAGGGCAAGGCAAGTTATTCTTTGTTTAAAGCATTTGATTAAAACAAAAATCTTGTTCTCAAGTCAGATTACCTTTCAGCTTCCTCGTCTGATTGTTTAACGCCTTTTCCTTCATAATAAGCTCTTCCAAGGTTGTAAGCTGCTGCAAATTGTAAGTGTCTTGCTTTGGGACATGGAGAATCAACAATTTTCTTCATATATTCCACTCCTTTTTCCTTCCACAAAGGAAAAGAACAAAACAGAAAGTCCTAGTTTAGTTTTACCCAAGTTAAGTTTTCTCCCAATAATGCTGTAAAGCGTTCACCCTCCGACGTGAGGTAGAATGTCATGAGTCTATACCTAACAGGTATGGTTGTCCTGGACTCTGCAGGGCTAGAAATAAGTCAAAGTCCATCTCCTGGCTCAGTGTTCCCAGGAGCTCTGGGATATAAAGCATTCCCTTCATTTTATAGCTTCGACATTTGCATTACCTCTCAATATGGTTTCCTTCTTCTCTCCTCATAGCCCTTATTGTGAATCGGCACAGTTCTTAGAACTTATAGTGTAAAAATAGCCAGTAACTTCCACATTTTTAATCCTTACAGGACACGTGTGAGCCCCAAACTCTGTCTTCTCTCTTCAAGCACACTTTCCCTAGCTGTGCTCAGTGATAAATTTATGTCTACTACACTCATCTTCATATGACATCTGCATAGTCACGAAACACAGAGGACGTTCTAACCACCAACAAAAGGCTTTCCTCCCTCCAAAAACCCAGACACAAATCGTTTACTAGACTATGTTCCTCTTGTCCAACGCACAGCAAGCCAAAATGCTGAGCCCACGAGGTTTGCAGCAAAGAGGGTTTACAAGGCAGCCAAGCAGGAGATGGGAGAACAAATCTCAAATCCGCCTCCCCAAAGGCAAGGAGCTCGGGGTATTTATAGGATAAAGAAGAAAGCAGCGGGCAGTTGGAGGTGTGGGGAGCGTGGAGAAAGGCGATTGGAAAAAGGTGCGGGAATCTTTGCTCTGCACAGGCAAAGGCCTAAGCTATAGGCCTCTGCATGTTCAAAAAGTCACTAAGCAACAGACACGCATGCCCAGTTGAAGGGTCGGTGGTTCTATCCAGTCTTAACCAGCTCAGCTCAAACTAGACACAGCTGACTCCAAGTTCCTAGAAAACAACTCGGGCAAACATCTTGTTTAGGCTACATGCTGCTTGGAGCACATGAGAGTCTTAAAAAACCACCTTGATTAATGAAGGCAGGTGAAGTGGATTTGACCCACGGTTTCAGTCCCCCCCTTGCTTTTTGATCATTCCTCAACTCTTGAGGAAAAAGGGTGAGGACAGCTCTGGCTAATTCCTGCTGATAAGGGGCATAGGCCTAACAGGGGCTTGAGGAATCAAACTATTTAGCACTCATTTGAGAATATTCTCTTGTTCCTGGTTTCAAGTTAACATTTTGATCCCAAACAAATACCACTTATGCGCCAGCTGTCAAGGCATTCATAGGCCCAAGATTGGTAATAAAAACTATAGACAAATAGGTACGGGGTGGGGCAAATATGTACACTGTGAGGGCATACAGAACGCCAGACGTGCGAACATTTCGACTCATTTTTAGGGATTTTACCTAGGACACTGGTGAGCCAGGGATTGGGGTCTTACTTTTTTTACCAATTGGAGTGTGTTGATCATTATCACCTTTGACTGAAACAGATAGTATCGAAGGAACACAGGCTGGGAGAATTAAGTGTGGTTTCTACAATATCCTCACCAAATAGAACCCTAACAAGGGTAGGTGCCAGGGATTTTTTTTGTTGTTTGGTTGTTTTTTATTCTGAGGACACGAGGAGACCAAATTTTGGCTTATTCAAGAAAAAAACATGACAGGACATTTTGTTGATTAGCCTAATTTGATATGTTCACACCTGAAGTCACAGTGAAGTTAGGGATGGTCAAAAATTAACGACAGGCACAACCAAGGGGTCAGCATGATCAAATACAGAAGGTTTTAGATGACATATCCAAAAGCTAGAGAAATTACCTACTTTTGCCAAAGATTGAAAAATCCTAATCACTGAATTGTCCAAGCCTGGGAGGTTCGAAACAAAGAGAAGGCAGAACAAAAGAAAACAATCAATCTGGTTACTAACAAATTATTTAAATTGCTTTCTAAATTTTACTTTTCAAAGCCACTACTGCAGCAATCCCACTCACCTTAATTTCTTTCCCGTGGCTTTTTTCTGGGGGTTTGCTTGCCCACTCGGGAAAGTCAGCGTCAGGGTTGGAACCACTGCGGTATTCCTCCCGCAACGTGCTTTCTCCCTTTTTCGGTGCATTCCTCATAAGGTCCCAACCCGCGAAGATGGAGCTGGTCTTCAGGATGTTTATCCTCCATGATTTCAGTCTAGATGTTCATTGTCTCCTTTAAGAGTTTCCTAAATGGGTTTTGCTATGAGTCCAAAGTTGGGGACCCAAATACGGCAGAACCCAGCCATTCCCAGAAATTCCTGCAATTATCTCTTGGTGGGAGCTGCAGCCCTAGCTAGAGCTTCCCCTCCATTAGAGGGCAAGTCTCTCTGTCCTTGTGAGAGTTCAAAACCCAAATATTTAACAGAGGGATTGAGAACTCTGTGCTTTTTCTTGGATACCTGATAGACCTGTTCAACCAAAAAGGTTGAAATCAAAACCATATTCTGAAAAAAACAAAACAAAAAAACAACCATATTCTGGTCTCAGGTGTCCTTTGTTTTACTGGTAACCAGCATCAACCACGTCCTGGAGCAGGGCTCCCTCATTTAGTTGAGGGTCCCTCAAATCTTTTGCCAGGATTTCTCCAAACATCGCGGGTAAAGTTTTAAATCCCTGAGGAAGTACTGTCCAGCAGTACTGTTGTTTAATTCTTAGTACCTAGATCTTCCCATTTGAAAGCAAACAACTCTTGGGATTTAAAACAAGGATATGCAAGAAAAGGCATCTTTCAACTCTAATACAGTAAACCAACAATGTCTGGACAGATTAGTGAGCAGAGAATATGGGTTAGGGACTACTGGATTAGTCTCTTTTACAATCTAATTGTTCTTAAATCGTGTACAAGCTGACCTCAGGTGGTATCCTAAGCCGTATAGGCCTAGCTCCTTGCTATTCCCAGCCTCCCATCCGCCCAGGTCTTCGGATTCCTCTTTGCAAATCTCTTCTGGAACAGTTGCAGGCTGTTCTTTTGGGGATTGGAGTAATAAAGCCTGCAATGCGCAAGCCTGCTCTGGTGGTACTTTAATGTCTGTCCACTCAGGGGCAAAGGTAACCCTGATATTTAGTTAGTAAATCTCGTCTCAGAAGGGGAATGGGGCATTCAGGCATGTATACGAAGGTATGCTTCAGATGCGTTTTCCCCAACTGACAGTTTAGCAGCTGGAAAAAAAAAGGCATTTTCAAGGTTTCTTTGGACACCCCAGTTACTAACATAGTTTTAGAAGGAAGCTTAGAAAGCCAGGTATTTAAAACTGAGTAAATGGCCCAATATCAATCAAAATCCAAGTTAATTTCCCACAGTCATAGTCATCCAGGGCTCCGCTAGGGAAATGATGGACTTCACAAGATTTAAAGGAACCCCTAGGGCCTGGCATTCTTGGTCACTGTCATTCTCAGCTCGGGCATCCGATGTGCCAGCTGTTTACCTTCAAGAGGCTTACTTAGGATGGGACCCTCTTTTCCAGTGTCCCTCCTGTTTGCAATATGCACACTGGCAGGGTCCGGCTATTGGGGGCCCGTTTGAGCGGAAGCTTTTGCCGAGTCCCTTGGGAGAGTCCTTGATTCCATCCAGCTCTTCCCGGTGTTAAGGTAGCCGCCCGCAGAGCAGCCTCTTTCATTCTCCATTGTTCCCTTTTCTCCTGAACCTGGTCTCTGCCATTAGAAACGTTAAAGGCAGTTTCAACAAGTCAAGACATAGGCATTCCTAAAGGCCCTTCCATCTTTTGCAGTTTCTTCTGTACACTGGGTGCGCTCTGACCAAAACTGGTCACTCTGACTTTTATAAGTTCTCTTTGTACGTTGCCTATAGGCTTTAAAGACCCTTTCTGGAAATTCTGAAGGATCCTCATTTGGTCTGTTTTACCTCCTGTACTTTATTAAGGCTCGTTTTAGCATCCCTCTTCGCAATCCTGCAAGAACGCAATCTCAGTAAAGTTCGGGCCTGTCTCCAGCATTCACATCCCCATCAGGATCTGCTTTTGGTGTAGCCCCGCATGCAGCAGCCCTCACCGGGTTGCCAGGGGTTTCTGCACGAAGCAGATCTGCCTCCTCTCGAGCTTTATCCAGCACCATCCTATGCTCTTCTGAAGTGAGGAGGGTATTTAATAAATTTTGAACATCTGCCCAGGTTAGGTTGTGGGTTGCAAAAAAAAAAACAAAACCAAAAATCAATGAAGGTTTTCCATTCTCGAGTCATCTGTATAAGTTGGCATATTATTCTTCCAATTAAATAAATCCAAAGCGGACAGGGAAGTGGACCCAGATCCATCCCATCAGCTGCCCAGTCTCAGCATTCACAGCCCCCGTGGGGACTTGCCTTAAGGGATATTGCCCTATCCGCACTTGGGTAGCACCCTGGCCAAGCTGCACACCCTGGCAGGTAATGAGTGGGGAGGCCATTCCTGTTTCTCAACCCTCAGAGACTGGGGTGGAGGGCACAGGGGCCCGAGAGCCTGAGGCTCAAATACTGACAGTGAAGGAGCGGCAGCGCCACCCTGTAAGGGTGGAGGGGAGCGTCCGAGCGGTCACTCAGCCCGCAAGTCACCCTCCTTCTCATTAGAATCCAGCAAAACAGGTGTCTGTGCCTTTCCTTCCTGTTGGACCATTACCTTACATCTACTCTACACAGGTTTATTCTGATACAAGAACATAAGAGACTGTACATAAGGTATTTCATCCCGTTTTTATTCCTGTTTACAAAATAAATCTACTTGCAAAGTTTTATTGTAATTTAAGGATCCATTTTCAGGCCATTGTGCTCCAGAGTCTAGAGAATATTATGGTCACTTAGTGTTACAAAAAATAACCATCTTTTATTTTTCCATGGATTCATAACAGAAAGTCTCCCAATTTTGGAGAATGTGGCCTAGAGGGCTGCAAGAGGGAACTGAATTAACATTGCCCATTTTGAAGGAGCTTTGTTCCCAGGTGGGTGCAGCAACAAAATCTTAGGGTCCTTGCTACAGTCGCCAAGAAGCTCAA